ATAAAATACCCAGCGATTATTATGACAGACTTGACACCACTCAAAACTAATATTTATCAAGGCGATCTGGATTGTGAAACAACAGGGTTGCTTCTCATTGCTATAGGAAGCAGATGTTTTGTCTTTCAAACTACGTTCATTCATGGACAATTCCTTTATTCTACTGTTTACCATTAATGAACAACATTTGTCTTTGAAATTATCATTTGTTTTGGAAGCAAACGGGTAAGTACCAAACTCTTCTCTCGGAATAAACTAAACCAACTTTAAACATTGCCATTTGCGTATAACCCAATTATCGAAGGCAGATTGCATTTTGATAACATGTAATCATTCATGGGGGGGGGGGGGGGTGCTTCTATGCAGGTTCGTAGCGATAACTGGGTTATAATTTGTATAGTTTGTTCTGCTCCTCTTTAATGACCAAGTTTCTGATTATGATCTCAGTAATTATTAATAGAATGTGCTTGATCAGAGACCGATTGGTAATTAAAGAGAAGTAGGAAGATTGATGGATAGAGAAAGGGCTAGAGGGAGGGAAAATGTTTAGAAAGGGAGAGATGGAGTGAGTGAGACAGAGAGAGAGAATAAGAGAGAGAAAGAGAGAGAGAGAGAGAGAAAGAGAGAGGGGGTGAGAGGGGGGGGGGGCGATATGGAAAAAGAAGGGGGGGGGGGTCAGAGGGGACTATATAGGTATATGATTGAATACATGTATTTCTTCTATAAATCTTTCTGCACAATTCAATCATTCTTAATCCCGCATCAAGTGCCCTGAATACTGATTTTACAAATGAAAATCTTTTTTTTTACCAACTGTAACGTATTGACGTTCCGTGAATTTTTTTCTCTCAAAGATTCAAAGATTATGATGCATAGTAGATCAAAAGTCGATAAAAAGCACTCACAATATGACCTACTAGACAAAGTACTACAAAGATTTGAAAGTCAGTTAAAACCTGAGTAATTCCGCCTTTTTGTAATATGGTATGGTAAACAAAGCATCAATAATATATTGCAAAAAAAGTAGTCTGCTATGTTTTTTCGTGAAATAACTGTGTTTTGAGGGGTAATGTGTTAGTTTGTTAGTGTGTCACACGTTCTCCTGCCCAAATTATCTTCAAAGTCTTCGATGTTAATTACGAATCCTAGGTATTTTTGTTTCTCTCTCTCTAAATAATGAAGTAGAACGAGCCACTTTATTGGCAGGGCAAATCAAAAGCCAGCAAGGCAAGAAGAAAATGCCGTAGGATAAAAATCAGAGGTTCGTGGAACACCGCCGGCGTCGTGACCCGGTGAATAGTCGCGGTCGATGTCGACAGGTCTGCTGGCGGGCGACGATGCCGGGCAGACCAGACGATCATCGAGTTGGGTGGATTCAGCTTTGATGTATTTGGCGCGCGAGTATATACAGAGGGGGTGAAACAATGGATGCATTTAAGCAGTGATGCTGACAGTGCAATACTTTTGACGTCATTCGTCAGGCAGAGAGACTAAGGAATAGAAAGAGAAAGAGAGAAGAGGATGGGGTATAATAGGAAGGGGGAAAGGGAATGGGTTTAGTAGTGAACGAGAGAAAGAAAGCACATGCACTAGAATAACTATAAATATTTATAATAAGGAAAACTCATACCATATAAATAGGCCTATCGAGAGTAATATGCGAATCTTGAACTTCTTTATTGTGTGGTAGACATTATTGACTCCAACAACCACTGTATATTGCGTCAGTCATTAATAATTTCGAATTGCTCAGTAGGCGTAAGGTCTAAACACACCATCCACGTGATTACTATGAATATTCATGAAGGTATAGTTTAATCTTTTGACGCATATTGTCACCCAGGGATATCAAGATAACGACTTTCTTTGATTGCTGCATAATTGAAAATGATAATGATCTAGTCAGGATGGATGACGTCAACAGGGCGGGAGTTATTCATTTTCTCTGTGATATCTTTTCTGTTACGAAATTATTATATGGCTTTGGTGATTAAAAACTCACTTATTCTAGAAATAAAATATGAAGTGAAACATGACCGAGTAATGATATGTATTTGAACTTGTGACATCATTTCAATTGCGAATTATATCGAAAAAGTAGGAATGTTCGTTGAAAACTCACTATCCTAACACTTCATTATTAAATAACATGTATGTTAATGTTTTCCAAGATAAGGTTATGTTGTAGTTGTATTTTTGTTTCAACCATTTATTGAAACATAGAAGCTTTATCATTGGAAACTCATTATCCTAACACTTCATTATCAAATAACATGTATGTTAGTGTGTTCCAAGATAAGGTTATGTTGTTGTTGTATTTTTGTTTCAACCGTTAATTCAAATAAAAAAGCTTTATCCGTGAATCATCTGTGCAACGTGATATTCATGTCAGCGAAAAACATACGTGCCACATGAAACACCTTTCAAATTACCTACAATTTTGTCTTTGATGAACGAGGCAATGCAATATCAGATAGAAAGGGAATCAATAATTGACTATGTTCAACGTTTGGGGTTTTCCCTCATTCGTGTTACTCGCGTACATACGTCAGAGCTTTATCTGAAATAATACATAACCACGAAGATCATAGTTACATGCTCCAAAAAAAAAAAAAAAAAAAGAATAACCTTGTAACCAAGAGAGTAAACCATAATTATGTAACTTTATGATTATTATTTTTATTTTGACTTTATCCTGTAAAGTAGCCTGTGGAGGGCTAAACAACATAAACAAACATTCTCATTGGCTCTATGCTCAGCGGGGCCGGTTATGCTTATGTTTATGAATGATTCAAATTCAGGAATGCCTGAAAATGAATACATCAAATGACCTTCATAAGAAGCTTTTCAAAAATATTTAAAACAAAGTATATCCACCCACTTATTTAATAGCGGCTGTTTGTAAAATGCTTTATGGTGTACGTAAAGGACAAATCCCCATGGACGTTAATGGAAATACTGGCTTCTGTTTTGCAATGTACATGTACGTTAGCGTTATGTTCGCACTGATTGGTATTCGTGTAGGGTCACGTGGTACACATTATATCATAATTATGACAAATTTGATAATGCCATTACGTGCACATAGAGGGCTAAAACAACACAAGTATGCTCGGTGAAGGTAACACTTCGAGATTTTGGCGCATTAGGTCCCCGTCTTCTAATCGCAACCGTACTTGCGATTTATATCAATCGCGACTATGTGCATAAGAGATAGGAGACTGTAAACTTGCGATTGATTCGGATCAACTGTAACTCTTTAAAACACAGGGCTCATATAACAAAAAACCCACTTTATCACTCTAAATATTTTTTTTTGATAAATCTAGTGACAACGTTTAAATTTTAAATTGGCTTTATGATGAAGACATTTCTTTTTTATTTAAAAAATATTCATAAGCAAAGATTAAACCACTTTTGTTTAAAAAAAAATAGTCCCAAGTGATTGGAATAAAGAAATGTGAGAGAAAATGTGAAAAGCAAGACATGAAAGATGGTGAAAAGAACAAAGAATGAAGAGGACAAACACACGAAGGTATATTTGAAGAAAACAATCAGATGGGGGAGAAACTGAGAGTGACATAGAAAAAGGAAAGAAAGAGAGGATAAAGAGAAAGAGAAAGACAGAGAGAGAGAGAGAAAGAAAGAGAGAGAGAGAGAGTGGGAGAGAAGTAGAACGCTTAGATTATGAACATCAAGGGACCATTAAAACATATTTTATGGATCGATTTTTAAAAGCAGCTTAGGAGAAACCGAAGTCTCGTTTAGCGGGACATACCCATCAGATAATGCATTAGTGTGGCCTAAAAAGAAAACGGTGCATCTTCAATTTCAGCACGAGCAAGCCATGCGAATACTGCTATGTGAGAAATGGGGCAAGAATTATATATAGTGGTTCTTTTATGACTTTAACATATTTCAGTATTAAAGAGAAGAGAATTGTGTTTTCATATGACATTAACATATTGCAGCAAATGCAATGTCATAATACGTCATTGACAATGACAGGTAATTATTTAAGTATATACATTAATAATTTATGAATGAGCCCCCTGGTTGCAGAGTAAGCAGACAAATTACATTGTCACCCTTGTATTGTGATCCTAAAACTACATGTATAATATCTTGAGAAATATATCAGACGCCGATGCTTGGAACTCTCTTCAATTACAAGACATGATTTTTGTTTATATGATGGACCATTTGAATAAGTTATTGACAACTAGTAACGAAGAAAAAAGGGATTTATACATTCATCTGGATTTATCATTATATTGTAATTTCCTGTGAATTACGTAATCGACCATGACCTGACGTCAGCAATTGCCAGTCTCTATTGCCATACTTGAACTCAATGGCAAAGTACGGCACTGTCATCGTGGGGGGGGGGGGGGGGTCTCACTCGGGAAATTAATTTATTGTTTAAGTTGCCAAGCCTTATTGTGTGCCTGGTGACTCTGTACCTGCACCAATGCTGAAACTATACCATGTTTAAAACCTTGTCTTGTCAAAATATAATATGATATCAATCTCAACCTGAGTTTGATATCAATTGCAACTATATGTGCACAAAAAATCAGTCGGAACTTTGTGATTGATTGGAGGACGTCCGATCGATTAGGTTCCATTACAACTCTTGAAGCCGGGAGTATAATGTGTAACCAGTGTATATTGCAATGTCAATATCATTACCGATGTCTGGATCATTCGTGCATCTGTACACCATTTCCCTACCCTTGCTAATGCCGTCGTTTCTTTCCACACTCAGTCTTTTGTCTAAAATCAAATATATTATTTAAAACTAAAACAAACATATTATTTTGTCATGATAATTATACGTGGCCATAATCTTATAAAAATCAACAACTTGATCATTTGAGAATTTGAGAAACAGAAGACGGCTGAGAAGGTTCAAAAATCATTTTTCAGTAGAACCTCAGGAAAAAATAAGTTATCAAGTGTCTGTCTATGATAGAAAGATTTGTTTTGCTGTGGTAATTAATGAAGGGCGTTATTTGACTTCATGAATGATTTTCCGTTATAACTCTGATTACATGTATGATTGTTCTATATTAATGTTCATAAATGTTTTTCTTTCTTTCAGAATGTAGCCGTTTTCGCGACAGTGGATCGAGAACGAGCTCGTCCGATGTTATGTTTTTAGATCTACCACTCTCCCCATCATCGCCTACGCCCTCATCATCCGCCTCATCACCATCGTCATCACCATCATCATCCCCTCTACATTCAAATTCCCCATCGTCATCGTCACCGGGGACGACGACCGAATCGTCAATAAAAGGGACGGAAAGAGACTCTTTATCGATCAATGGAAGCAGCATTGATCACGAGAAAGCAGCAAAGAGCCATTTGTGCAACATTACGCATGCGCATCATCCCTCGGAAAGAACGAACCAGAAAGATGATATCGAAATGAACATCACCGTATTGCCATGGCAACTCAGCATCACAGTGGCCAACCATACATTGAGTATTAAGGTAAGGGCATCTCGATATTGCTCAAGGTAACAAAATGTTAAGTATTAATGCCGAATAATATATCAGAAGAAATAGCTGGTACGTTTACATCTATAGTCAGCTAATAAAATCAAACACCGAATTCTTTAATACTCGCTCTTGAGCAGCTTTAGGATAATTAACAAAAAATAACAACAACATCAACAATAATTGTACTAGAACTATTATGGATGTAAAGTCATGCTTGTGCATCCTTTGATTTTCTAAAGATAATATCTCTATTTCTCTCTCTCTCTCTCTCTCTCTCTCTCTCTCTCTCTCTCTCTATTGATATATAGGCCTATACTTATATATCTCCCTCTCTCCCTCTCTCTCTCTCTCTATATATATATATGATATATAGGCCTATACTTATATATCTCCCTCTCTCCCTCTCTCTCTCTCTTCCTCTCTCTCTCTGTCTCTCTCTCTTATCAAACAAAACTATGTGGACAAGGAAGACATTTTTTCATCCCAACGTTTGGCGTTGTATTAACTTGAATATATTCTCATTCCACACTGCTGCTCATCGTTTCAATCATTAACGCTGTATAACAGACCTTGTGTGCACGCACATCGTTCTGATGACGTTCTGATGGCCATCACTTAAACTCCAGCACCCAATTAACACTTTAATATTGATCTATCATTAATTGAAATGCTCTAGATTATTGATTGATGAAACATTCCCTTGCCGCTAGACTCATCAAGCGACAGGGCAGACATTACATCGGTTTATTTATAATTATAGTTGTAAAGAGGTCGCTGGAAGTAATTTATTTAATTGGCAATATGTATTTCATGATTTTATTTATAGATTTAATCATGGATCGTGAATTGAGTTTTGTTTCCCTATTTACATACCGCCGATTGTGATTTCGTTTCCTTACATCTACCTTGTTTCGTTTTACTTGGCAAACACATTCATCGTTTTCACCTGAGCTTCATTCGGATCTTCAATGTATTTGTCCCATGCGTTACCGACTATAATATCACATTGTCAAATATTTCATTAAAATCTTGGATGCGGATGGAAGAGAGAGAGAGAGAGAGAGAGAGAGAGAGAGAGAGAGAAACAGAGAGAAACAGGGAAACAGAGGGAGAGAGAGAGAGAGAGAGAGAAAGATAGAAAGATAGCTGCATTTTTCTTGAGCATTATGTTTCTTAACGAACATTTCAACAATGCTCGATTTTAATCAAACTAGTGTCAATATTACCCCCCCCCCTTCCCACCGCGTTGATTTGTCAACGTACACATCTTTTTCGTATAATGTTTACACGAGATCATGTTCTTTGTCCCCTTCTTTATCCTATTAAGGGGGCACCCCTATCCCCACCCCTCATCATAATATGTTACGTTTCGTTAATATTGGTCGCGCAGGAAACCTTTGTAGACGTCTGGGAGTCTCTGCTTAAAGTCTGCGCCTCATTAATCATCATGTGGAGTATAAACTCTTCCTCACCTCTCGTCTTCTATCTCTATCTCTCTCTTGCCCTTTGTATGTCTCTCTTTGTCTCTCATACTGCATTTCTTTCACTATTTTCACCCCTTCTCCACCTCCTCTTTCACTCTCTCCCTCCCCCTCTCTCTCTCTCTCAGGGAGATCAGAGCAAACTCTAATTTCACAAAAAAATATTTATATCTGTTTGAATAAAAGTGCCTCTACATACTTTGACTAATTGGAAAGCGCAGGTCGTCATCTCCGAGCCATTGTTTCTAAGCATTCCAGTTGATTGGAATTTAAATAAAAACACGTTTGTATATGCTCTGGCAAATCTTCTGTGACACAACCCTAAGCCTGCTAAGTTGATTGCTCTACTAGCGGGTATTACGCTGTGACAGTTTCTTGAGTCAAAATACAAGATAAAGGGAACATAAGAAGCTGAGATAGGGAAGATGATAAGTACATGAAGTAGTATTAAAAGAAGAGAGACATTTATAATTAGAGGAGAGAGAGAGAGAGAGAGAGAGAGAGAGAGAGAGAGAGAGAGAGAGAGACTGACATACCATGCAGACAGACAGAAAGAAAAAAAAGAGAAAAAAAGAAAATGTGTAAATGTGACGAAAGTGGGGACCCTAAAATAAAAACGTGTTAATGGAAGAACAACAAAAGTAACAGTAGATAAAGACATTTAATGAAGAAATTAACATGCCAGGAAAAAAAAGGATAAAAAAGAAGAAAGAACACTACTATGGAAAATATAAATATGGGAAAATGAACTCCAGAAGAACAAACACAGGAAGAAGGAGATGAGGAAATGAGATTGGGCAAAAATAGACACAAGGCAAGCGCAATATTATAACTTCAACATATACTCGCTCATGCAGTCTAACAATAGCCCGTGTACAATACCCCTTCTAACATGTGTAATAACTTGCAAGCGACAGTTAATTTCCGGGGGTAGATATGTGAGTTTGATGGGTAGATGTTTCATATTGCTTATGCTGGAGAAGAAAATGCCGGAGCTTAATGCAGCTCGGATTCGCGTTGTCATGCCTAGAGCTAATGCCAAGGAGATTCAAGTTAGAGACAATAAGTCTTCTTCAATCGATGTAAGTGAATCCGACGAATGGAGGAGGGGGGGGGGGGGGGAGGGGGGGGGGGAGAAAGACAAAAATGCAATGAGTGAATGAGGGAGGGAGGGAAGAGTGGAGAGAGATAAAGAGAGAGAGAGGGAGAGAGAGAGAGAGGGAAAGGGAAAATGGGGGGGGGGGGGGTCGATCAAGATAGAAAGAAGGTAAAAAGAAGTAAAAGGGAAAACTGGAAAAGGGAAAATAAAAGAGTGTATGATAATCTTCTAATGATAATGATCTTGATTTAAAAAAATTATTAACATAAATTTATGGTTGATATAAAAAAAAAAAAAAAAAAAGCATGTGATAATGACCAGCGCAAGATCAGAAATATAACTAACATCATAATGAACAGTGAGGCTATGAAACTTCCATCTCGTGTATTTTTACACAGGTGGGGGCGTCCCACGGGGGGGGGGGGGGGAGGGGATATGAAATGACAAGAGAGGAAGACAATCACGTATACAAAAAGACTGAAATTATCCTATCGGTAGAACAAATATGAAGATTTCAGGACGAATAGAGAAATAGGGAAACTGGAAGACTTCAAATACAAAATGCATGAGTACGAGATGGTAAACATGTCAAACATTTCGGACAATGATTGCTCTACGAAAGAGGTTTTGAAAAGTACATTCCACTTGTAAATCGTAGAAGCCGACAATGATTTTGTAACTATCTAAAACCATCAAATAAAATTAATTCAGAAAACCTCAATGTTATTTTTAATCGAAACGTTTGGAAAATTCAAATGCATAATACCATTTTGCGCGCGTCTTTGGCTTTGGGGAACGTATTTTACAGGTCTAACCACATTGTTATGCTTTCGGACACTGTTTTCAAAATAAAGATCGGCTACCGCCCCCATCCCCGCTTTCTCTCTCTCTCTCTCTCTCCGCTCTGTTTACTCAATTGACTGCATAGCTGTATTCAAAATAGTTACTTTTCACGTTAAGTTCACTTGATTAGCTCGCTGACATTTTCCCTGAGAGGAGATACTATCTTCAGCATGTCATTTTTTTTTAAAGTACTTAAAAACACTGCATTAATTGCTTTCCGTTCTTGTATCACGAAAAAAATTATGATTTAAAGAGCAAGTCAGGTGATGTTTAAATTAATTTTCTTGTATCATATGATGTTTACTGTGTATTTTACAAGACAGTCAAGAGTTAAATTAAGCATGGAAAGGTAATTAATGCCGCTTCCTCTCTCTAAACAAATGTATATATTTTTAATGTAGGCATAGGTAATTTCCTTGGTTTTTATTCCTGAACCTCCCCTCTCCCTAAGCCCACCACACCCTATTTTGAAGTTCTTCATTCCGGGTAAGTCTACTCAGCATCTAAAGGAGTAGCCATTTACAACTACCAGAGTCAGTTACACATCTACTAACCTGCATCAAACAACAAACCTTCATATTATAATCATTATAATGAATCAAATATATGGGAAAAAGATTAAGATCGGCACGATAGTTGCATCATACTCTCGTATGTTCGTTGTCGTCATCACTTTTTTCATCCTCTTTTCTTCCACATCTTCTCTTTCAAATGGCTTCCACAATCATTGCTGTACATCTTGTATTTAATATCAATCGTGATATAATTATCATTATCGATGTTTTTGTTTTGTTTTTAATCCAATGTCTCTAATCCCAGTGGACTGATACAACTGGAGCCGAAAGGTTAAAAGGATCGATCGTCCGGATAAATTACAGCTGTTGCTTCCATGATGTTCTTCTGCCGCCGTGTCTTGTTTTCAAGATCGCTGGATCAAGATATTGTAAGTATAATATTATTCAGGAAAGGGAATATTGAGTTTTGCTCGAAGAGAAGAAAAATTGAAATGATTTTGAGAGCTTCCTCGTTCGTTTTCATTCCTTTTTGTGGAAGAATATTATAGCAAAAATTGTCACTTGAAAATCGTTCCTCTTTAATTGCCCTCGTATTCAAAATTGGACTTTACTAGAAATAGTTTAGTTCTGATGGATAGTGCTCAGTTTATCAGCCTAATCATGATTTTGTTTTTTAAAAATTCTTTCATTTTCTGCTAAATATTCATGCTGTCATTCTTAATTCCATTCTTAAGCTTGTTTCACTCACTCAGCGGCGTATCCATGATATGAAGCCAACGAACGCCCCTTTCTTTGTTTGAAAGCACGCGGGGCTGCCAGATTTCACCAACCCCACCCCGTTTATTTATTTTTGAAAACGCCACTGAAAATAACGTTAATCTTAAAGGAAAATATAATAAAGGGGCAAAAAGAAATATACAATTTGTAAGCTTCTTTTAATACATTTTCGTAATCGCACAAATACTGCAATGCAAACTCGTGCCGTAAAGAGGTCCACGGCAGCCTGAACGATCCCACCTTAGCACACACGTTATTAAACCTGGATGAGCCTGGGGTGATTCTAACTTGATTTCCTCTCATTCTCCATCCAAAATGCCTGGATGAATTCCTTCGAAGTGATTAATAAATAACCCATTCACCCTTCCCTTCCTGGAGCTCGATCGGTTGCCGACAATAATAACTCAGGTACCGAGTCAAGAACCGTTCGTCAAAAATCTAATTACGGTGTCGTCAAAAGACAACAAGTCTTCCCTGGTTTGCACTCCATTTTCACATCCGCTGGCGGTATAGAAATGAGAACCTGAAATATAAATAAGACTGTAATGTATTTTCCCGTCAGGTATCAGTGACATTAGATAGAAAAAATGAAGAACATTATCTGGCATGTCTCTAAAGGTAGGGAGGCGGAGAAGATGATTCGTACTTCATTTTGATTGTGAAAACAAACTGACTTCCTCGCGCAAGCTCATTAACTGCAAAATCTCTGATAAACAACCCCTATCGTGATGCCTTAATGGGTTATTTGGTTTGAGTGATCCTTACTGAAGATTGCTTTTGTATTAATAATATATTTTAAGTATAGTAATACCCCAATTAAATATTCAAGATCAGATTGGGCTGCCCAAATGTACATTTTTGGGGAATTATTTCGTTCTTGACATTGAATAGTTGGCTATAAAATAACAACTCGAGCATCCAACCCCCCCCCCCCCCCCCGCGCCCCCTAAAAATCAAGGACAAAACTGTACAACGAAAAACAATTCAAGGAACGTTATCCATGGATCAGATCTTGCAATAGTTGAAATATGAATAGGACTGCAATGTGTTTTCCCGTCTGGTATCAGCGACATTAAATAGAAAAATGAACATTATCTGGCATATCTCTAACGGTAGGGAGAAGACGCTTGGGATGATTGAAGATGACTTTTGAGATTCAGAGGGTCGTCTTTCCCCCTAAAACTGTATAGGTTATCACTCTTGTTCTGAGCAGATATTATGTGGAAACGGATGTTTCTACCATGTCAACTGAACTGTATATTATCACAATTGTACAAGAATGGCAAAATATGATTGGAGCATTCATTTTCACTGTAAGATATTGGATCTTTTATTTCAATGATCGCATACTATTTTGGCATATGGAAGCAATATGTATAATACACAATCACGATCTATACATAACGTCATATAGATTGAGATCGCTTGCTTGGCAACGTCCAATACGACTGGGTTTACTTTACCAAATAACAAGCATTATATATCATACCATTCAATATCAAGACGCCTGCAGCTGTTTTTTTATATTGCTTTCATTCATCTCTGCAATAACGTCTTCCCTTCCTGAATTTTCTCCCTCTTTTCCTGTCTCTCCTACTTTGCTCGCTTCTTCTTTTACCTCTTGTTTTTTTACCTCTCGTTCTCTTGACCCCAATATCCTGCCACCATCCGCCACTATTTTATTTTCTCATTTCGATTCCCATCTCCTTCTCACGTTCTTTCTCTCCATTCTTCTTTATACTCTTTCCATAGCTTGATAAAATATGTCTACTTGGCTCTATCGCAGCATTAAAGTGTCATAAAGAAAGAGAGCTAGGGAGAAGGTGAGAAAGAGAAGGAAAGATAGAGAGAAAGAGAGAGAGGGAGACAGGGAGAGAGACAGGGAGAGAGAGAGAGAGAGAGAGAGAGAGAGAGGAGAGAGAGAGAGAGAGAGAGAGAGAGAGAGAGGGGGGGGGAGACAGGGGGGGGGGAGAGAGAAAAAACCCTTTGTAAAAGACATAATGACTGTCCATGGTCAACAACGGTGGGAATTGAAAGAAGAGAAGGAGATAGGGAGTCAGAGGGGGGGGGGGGGGGGAGGGGAGGGACAGAAATAAGCTAGAGAGATACAAGAATGAAGGGAAAAGAACATTATTTAATTTTGTTTTGATCAGAATAGAGATGTAAAATGTCACTCCTTCCTTCCTTTCTTCATTCATAACGGAAGTAAACGTGAGAAGAATTTGAAAACGAAAGAAACCGATCGATTCCGATGTACCACATATTGAAAGGTGAACATTGGTTGTCTGCACTTTGAATCTGACCTCTTTATAAGTACAAGAAACAGGTTCACAGTAATGATGTTCTGGTGTGAAGGAATACAATTTTATTGGAAACGTAAGTGGGAAATGTCTGCATGTTAAGAATGAGAGCCTAGGGAGGAAGGATGTGCAATTGGCAAATGTGCTTTTTATTAGAGACGATGGATGTGTGCTTTGCTGAAAGCCCCTGAGAAGCTGTGATACAGTGTGATCATGATGCGGGTCTACCATCACTTTGCTTGTGGATCGGAAAAATGTGAAATGTTGAGGGGAAAATGGCCATCGTTAAAGATCAGATCAATGTGTGTTAAAATAGATCAACGTGTCGGTAACATTGAAAGATCATGCCTCGAAATAATAGAAAAGTTGTTGGAAGTTTGAATAAAAAGAAACTTGGCAACGAATTGCAGGAAATCGTTCGAGATGGTATTGGAATGTAAAGCACATTGGTGCGACAACATTGACAACGGGTATGACGACAATTTTAATAGTGGGTATGACGGAAGTCGGTTGCGGTGATATCAGGCCAAGACAGCACAATAACAAGATGGAAACAATATGGAAATGATCTGGCAGAGTTATCTTACATGTCTTATAAAATGGTTCAAAATGAATGGGTGCTAGAATGTCGTTGAATATGGTCGTATAATGACAGATTGTCAGAAAAAAAGGGGAGAAGAAGAAGAAGACGAAGGAGGAGAAGAAGACGAAGGAGGAGAAGAAGGAGGAGGAGAGGAGGAGAAGGAGGAGGCAATCTGCTCATTGGTAAATTTCGTCATATCCTCGTAACGTTCTTGGTAACTTTTTTTCTCTTCAGATTCTGTAGCAACCGATGTTCTCAGGCAATCAAAATCAACGCCATCTACGGCAGGGAATAGGTTAGGAGTGATCAGCGGTTCTGGCGATAGTATGACGTCAATTTTCAATACCTCGGCGACGCCAGGAGCACCCATCGAGTTTGTGACGAGTAATATTACGAATGCAACGACGGGTGAGTATGCTTATTTCTTCTGCGGGGTGATAAAGAAATAGGACAAGATAGGCGGGTGTAAGGAAAGGAATTACTCAGGGGTGGATCCATAATTGTCAGAAAGGACGGGGGGGGGGGGGGCGGTTGAGTCTTCCCGGGAATATGATTTCCGCATACTATTTTTCCGAGAGAATCCCGCAAGACGTCCTAAGATCGGGAGTGTTTTTACCCATTAGGCTAAAAGGCGCTTGTTTTTCACTCTTTTGCCTCCTCTTGAATACGCCTTTGATAAAGAAAATATCCTAATACAGAAGACGAGATATGAAAATATCAAAGCGCTGATGCAGAAGGCATTGTTTATGGTGCAACAACAGCGATGGAGAAAGAGACTTGGATAATAAGCATAGATAATAAGACGATTTAAACATGACAAGATTAAAAACGTGACGCATCTTTATGACATGAACTATGACGGACCAAAGCTGGTGGCACTTTACTGCTGTAAAATGAATATGACATGCCCCCCCCCCATGTTCCACTTCCTTCTCCGCTGTCCCGCATTCAGAAAATAGTAATAATAATAATACAATGAAATGATGCCCATCGGCACAACGACCAGATAATGACTCAACCTTGAACTAAAGAGACGGAGGCAGAGACAACTGAATTTAAGGTGTATAGATAATAGTAAACACCCAAGTATCAAGAGAGATATATTTAGAACTTAATCGTTTTTTTCACAGAGTTGATTAGACGTGTTTTATTACAAATAAGACAGAGATGGAAATATAATGGTTGTAGTACATAATGATTCAACATCTGTTCAACCTTTCTTTATGTGAAGTATTTATCATTCACTGGCCTTCTTGACGTCAAGGAATATAATTACAAATAATTACACATTTGTTTCATATGATCAAACGAGAAGAATCAGACAGTGAGAATGCAATGGCGTCACTAACAATATTAAATGGGATGGGGGGGGGGGGGGGGCTTATGAATTTGCCGAAAGTACTAACAACCAACAAAGAGTTCGAGGGGGGAACAGTACAATTGGTCCATCGTACTATTAGCTCAATTGACTTGGAAATTAAGAAATGTGCTGACAGTTTGACATTGTTTTGCAAAACAAAATATTTCAATATGACTGTCACTCTCCCATCCATTCTCTATCGACGCCCCCTGAGAGTAGCCTTACTATCGACAGTTGATGGGGCACATTATGATCCGAAAAAATACGACCCCCCCTTACCAATTGCTTGGAGGCCCGCCCAGACACCCCAACCCCTGCCCCCAAGCTAAGGTCACCTAGATATGCCACTGCCCATGATATGACAAGTCGAATATTGCTTGTCTTGCTCTGTGTTTCTAATAATTGATTTCTTCACTGCACAGCGGACGGAATGACGGCATATGAAGAACGTCTGGAGGTGATCGTGACGGGGCTTTGTGTCGGTGTCGCCATCCTTTTCGCATTCTGGTTGGTTTGTTTTCTGGTAGAGAAACGATCTCAATCAAAATATATGTAAGTGCTATCTATCCTATTTTTTCTCTCTTCCGTTGATTCTCTACTTCCTCCGACCCCCTCTATGATTCTCTCTCTTCTCTCTCTCTCTCGTTCCTATTCCCTTTCTCCCAATCAATTCATAATGATCATGGTAACCACCATCCACTAGATGGTTAGTAAAAACAAATAAAAATGTTTCTCTCTCTCTCCCTCCCTCTCTCTCTCTCTCTTTTCTCTCTGACTCTCTCTCTCTCACCACACTTTATCATCCCTCTCTCACATTCCTCCATTTACCCTTCCCCTTAGTCACAACTATCACAGAGATTAACAAATTTCAAAAACATTGTAATGTAATGATAAAACATTGATAAAAAAAAAACAGATATTAAACGATGCCAGACTTCTCCAAGACGTCTCCGAGAATGTGCTCGATCAGAGGTTTGTGAATTCAGAAGCAGGTCTTATTATTTGGCTCGCTCAAAAACAGTATTTAGAAAATAATCACAAACGAAGCTGATATATTGACGTTTATACAACTGTATTTTAAATGGACGGTAGTATTCATTTACGAAGATCATGTGCATAAAAAATACGTCATAATTGTCTTGTATTGATTTCAATGATCTGCAGGAAACGAGGATCAGATAAACAGAATGTTTCCCAGACGAGACAGTATCCACATGAAGTAGCAACCGTCAGAAAAACACTCATGGTAAGATGACCCCCCCCCCCCAAAAAAAAAAAAAAAAACGATTCTCCATTAGATATAACAGTAATTCAGAGTCCGACGAAGTATCCGACAAGGCTACAACCCAAGTCACATTGACGCCACCTACCCCAGACCGATCAAACTACATTACTTCGAATAGCGCATCGGTCGTTTTGAAGTTGGTTTCACGATGTGACTGCGGCACCTCTTGCCATCTTGGAAGAATGACTTCATAAAGTCAACAAACGAACGTGGCCCATTTTTTCATTCTACTTTCGCATGATTAGTTAAGATTGTAGCCGAATTAATGCACCATTAGTCGTGTCAGCTATACTATTGTAAGCCAGTCAGATTTGATTATTCAATAGAAAACCCTCTTTCCCCAATATCCATATGACTACACAACCTGCGATAACGAGACTCTTTGTTTTAGTTTTTTCCGGATTGCTCTACTTCCAATTCATTAAAGAAACAGCGTTAATTTAAGGGATCTTAAAGTAAAATCGTCTCTAGATAGGCCCCTCCCTCACTGTGAAAAATTTGGGAAATTTTATTTCAACACTTTGCCCAACGTTGTGCCATAGTCAACCTAACCATCTATTGGGCAATATTTTACCCAGTGGTATTGGTAAACGTAAGTACCCGACTTCACGCGTGCATAATTGTTTCGTATTTTGACCAAAATTTGGGCGAAGATATGACCCTTCAACTGCCCAACTACGGTAGCCCACTTGTTGGGAAAATCTTGACCAGCTGTTGGGCAAAATACTAAAAAAATTATGTAAATATTGCCCCATTGATGGTTGGGTTGACTATGGCACAATGTTGGGCAAAGTGTTGAAATAATATTGCCCAAATTTTTCAGTGCTCTAACAACGCTTCCTTGCATGCTCACTATGTTTATCCCTGCCATTTGCAGGAGATCTACGACATGCCAATGATACGGGTAGCGAATTCAGACGAGGAGGGGTCAGAGAGCGGGTCGGGTCAGTCGACGGGTTCCCGCGGTCGGAGTCGACTGGAAAGTGAAGGCGACGAACAGAACAGCTCGACCAATATTTCGTCATCCGACCAGCCGACCGGTGCCGATTCGTCTTCGTCAGAGGATACGCTCCGTAAGAAGGAGACGAAGAAGAAAACGACGTTCGCTGATCCGAAGGTACACCTGGATATTCCGAAGGTATAGTGTAGGTGCGACTTATCCTTCCGCAACAAGAGCGTTGCTGATAATTCCTTACACTTTCCGAATTCCTAACCTGAACTCAACCGTAACCCAATAACAGTCGCCTCAACCTATCCTAAAACCCGGTAGAAACCCTTACCCGACCCTGTGATATTTGAGCAAATAAAGCTCGGAGCAAATGTGGCTGAACAAAATTGAAATGTTGCATATAAGCAATTGACGGGCCACTACACGGACATGTCCCCGTTTGGTAAAATGTTGTGATTGATCCGAATCGTGTGCAACTGAACTTGAGATGGATATCAATCGCAATTCTAGTAAGTTTGCGATTGATCGGAATATCAGTCGCAACACTACAGAAAAGGAAAATTGGTCTGCCCAGAGATGCAATAAAGGTATTTCGACGTTTACGCCAAATGACATGATGACCAAACCTATTTCGTTTTACCCAAACATTTTACCAGCAATGCGTTATCATCACAAAATTATTCCTAACCACTGTTTTCACTCCGATCCAGAGTTGTCTGCTTTGTAGTTTCAGTCAGAACGTTGACTGGGACTGGGACTCATGGAATCCGATTATCACTTCTACATCATGATATAGTAGGGATTTAAAATAATGACTGGTGTTCAGTCAAATATGTGGATAAAAGTAAATTATAGGCATATCATGTTGGAAGGCTAAATAATTAAGAGGGGAAACCTGCGAAGTTAAAGAAGGGAGAGACTACGGTACTTTGAGAACTCCGTCTCTTGTGTCATTCATGGCGATATCATATCAAATCTAATAGAGATTGTGATTCTTGTATTTTTAATAGACGGTACCTAATTAATAGGCCCGAAAATCATCGATGTTCTATTTCTTAATCATCGTTTTCCTTCAATTCCCTCGCAGGAAGGCACCCCTGAGAAGTTTGGTACGTGGCGCCCTGTAGCCAAGGCAGGATTGGGGTCACCAGGTGAGGTGCGCTCCAACCGCTTCATAGCCACCTCACCAACAGCTCAGCCCAAACGAGCACTACTAGCTGGCGGTAGGTCTCCGTCGATCCTCAAGAAACCCAGCAATTTCAACGCCAACAAATCGCCACCGAGTATACTACGGTTCTCCCGAGGTCGCAAGATACGCGAAGACCCGACGACGATAGAAATGAACTCCATGGGCGATCACCTCAACCACGGCTATTCGTCGCCCAAGAAACATTCGAAACTGGTCTCTGCTCTCAAGAGCTCCGACTCGAGAAAGCATAAACGAACTCGGTTCAAGATGGACGAGCCAGAAGACATCGGCAACTGCGCAGGCGCAGGAGCTGAAACGTCGGTACCCGTGGGGAACAAAGCTCTGCCAAAGCAGTTGGTCACGTGCGAAGTGCACTTTGAAACCCCCACTGCCCCAATCCTAAACGGAGAACTCGAAGCCGAGGATGAGCTGGACGACGATGATGAGGATGAAGAAGTGACAGAAAGGACTCCACTCAAGAAAAATGTGAATTTTGTGGTGGTGGAGAAAGGTCTCGCAAGTAAATGCAAGTTTAATCTGAGCTGGGAGGATACAGACGGATTACCATGTACTGACGTATGACGTTAGTTTGGCTGGAGTTTGGTTCAATAACGCGCAGATGATTCTTCACGCCAAACCTGGTCTCGATGCCAAAAACTTTGTGTTTTTATCGCAATCCTGCTATCACTTATCATTCTATACTACGATAATACGAATAGAGAAATCTTATTCTTAATTGAATCAATTAAGGTCTGCACAGTGTGAACTAATTTTTATCACGCAAAGAGCTTGCAAAGCAAAGCAATGTATCGACATTAATTAAAGTGCTTGTCGAGAAGTGGAGAACACTCCCACGCCCAAGTTGTTTGAATATAATTTTGAGCATTTTTTTGTACATTCTGAATTCTGATAAAGTTTGACAAGTTGAATTAAAAATGAGTTTACTGCTTTTTAATATAATGGTCGCACCACAGGCCCCTTTTACACTTTATCTAGAACAAAGAACACTTGACTGTTTTAATCCATCACTTAGAAGAAAAGTTGCATCATCTAAAGAATATATGTGAATTTTCGTTGCGTTCGCGATGTGATGGGTGCTAAATCGCTGGTGCCTAACGTTTCATATCGACATTTTTCATACATACAGCAGATTCATCTTAATATGAAATAGATAATTCAAAGATATTATATAGCTTTACTTTTTTCCTTTTGCAATCAGTGCTTAGGGGGAGATGTTCTGGGGAGTGTTTCACAAAGACTTTCACAAAGATCGACTTAGGTTGGACTTGAACTATGGCAGGCCGATCATGCCACTGGTTGCTCTCACCATTCCTGGCATTGGTCTCGGAAGGGACGTACAAATCGTGGTCACAGATCTCCATTTTTTGATAGTTCATTATTGAAGGGAAAAAAATTATCTTAAGATCATAATTTTAAAGGTTTTGTCCTTCTATTTGCATCTGGTTCAAGGCTTTATAAGGGCATAAATCACATACCGTAGTATAAGTCCAAGTATTAAATGTAACACAAGTTTACAATGTTTTTTGTTTTTTTACTTCTTCAACAATTAACTATGAAAAAAGTGTAAATTCTGTAGATTTGTGAAGTTCCTTGACAGACCTATGGCGAGAGCAACCAGTTGCATGAATGGCCTGCCATAGTTCAAGTCCAACCTAAGTCGCATCTTAATCTTTTAAAAAAAAAACACCCTTCTGGATGCGCATACGACATAACACATACACTTGAGCATTCCAACTGCGTACATTCTCAGAGCAATAGACTTTTGATACGCAAACAATAGGTGAGGGTACTCAAGCGGGATGACAGTGATCAGGTATTACTATCATCATCATGACAACAAAAAAAGTAATATTGCATTAATGATGTTTTCTCGGATTTTTATATAAAGATTTACATGCAGCCTCAAAATCATAACGGAGTTTAACATTTATGAGAAGCAGCATATATTTGTTTTACAACTATATCAGGTTATTAGATCAAATTAATAAAAAATGTATTTAGTAATAGTGAGAAATGTAGGGAGAAAAACATGAAATGATGCGTTGTTTCATTTTAAAATCTTTTTGGATATAGGCGCCATGCAAAAAGGGTAGGCGAGATGAGCTAAACTGTATTTTTATATAAAACGAATTTGAACTGATAATATGTTAATGGAATATCAATAACAATATACATGTACCATTACAGAGAATTGATTTATGAAAAAAATGTGCAATTGTTATCAACAATGAACACATGAATGATTATCGTCAGTACTTGTATTTTCTGGTTCAATAAAGAGTGATTAGAATGATTATGATTTAATAAAATGTATGCAACATATTACTAATTGTATTATTGAAATATGTGTAGATGAAATAATTGTTGAGAATTATGATGTATATTGTACACAGAACGCATATGAGAAGTGTATAGAACCACTTCAGGTAGAATAATCACTTCATTTAGTGAATTTTTGAGACACACAAATTAAAGTACAATCATGACAATGATAAACGCAATGAGAAATATTTTTGTGGTATTTAAGTGTTTATTTATATCATTTATACTCTTTTATATTTAGCAGGACAGATTGTAAATCATTTGAATATCACTTAATGAAATGAGAGATTGTTCATAGATGAAATCGTGTTCACTGGAATATATAGAATAATAGACAGGAACAAATATCTAGGTATTGAAATTGCATATATTGGAATTGTTTTAATAACTTCTGCCAAATTTGTCAATGATATTTGCAATTAAACTTTGATGTCTCTAACATATATGTTTTTTTTATTAAAGAGGTAATTATTATACTTATCGAATCAATTAATAACTAATCTTAACAAATTGGAGTTGGATTTGTCAAATAAATCAAGTAATTCATTTGTATTAGATTAAGTGATGATTGCAATCTAAAACTCAATAAATACTTTTATCTAAATCCCTAATAACATGGATAATCTTTTATCATTCCATTTGCATTTCAACCATTCAACTATTGAGCAATAAATACTGACTCTAACATTAAATAACAGTTATAAAGTCATTTAAACATATTTGTGGCTAACACCCAGTAAATAAGATCGATTGATCGATCTGTAATTGAAAAACAAGTCAGAAAAAATCTTGATACCAGCTGGACCTGAACCTGTCAGATTTGTTCGGACTTCTTTTTCAATTACAGATCAATCAATCAATCTTATTTACTGGGTGTAAGCTACAAATATATTTTAAAAGTTCTCCCAGGAAGCATTACATTTTTTTTTAAAGTTATAAAGTCTTAATTAAGACATATGATAATTACATTCTTTATGAATTTAGTTGTCAAACAAATTTCATTAATGGGATGTTCATATTCTCTATCAATAAAAACAATGAGAATAAACAGGCATGACTATACAGTCTAAAAGGATGGCTCCAAATTATTATAATGTTCTTGCAAGGCATACTTTTTAAAGAATAAACACAATCAACCGTTCATCCCTCCTACATCTTTCTATACACGTAAAAAGTCAAAGATATGCTTTTAAGTAAGCAACATGGATCCAAGACCCAACTTCTCGACATACCAAAAGGGACCAGTGTCACAACTTGGACTCAAAGCCAGTGTAGCATCTCATGAAACCATCATAAAAACATGCTTGCTGATTTCCTGTTGAAACCTATGTTCATTTCATAAAACAATGTTTGCAAAATTAGACTTAGAGTACTGTAATGTAATGGCATGAAAAGATGCGATTGGAGCACAAAAAGTGTAATAGTTAGTGATGTTAGTGAATAATAAGTTTTTTTGTTTTGTTTACACATCTGTTTGAAAGGTTTTTCTAAACATTAAGCCTAATTGAGTTAGTACATGTACCGGTATTTACCTACCCCATACTTTAATGATGTGCTTCTACCGTAGGTGATAAAATCATTATTTTGCACAATCACACATTTTGCATTCCAGACGCTGCTTGTTCCACTTCATGTTTGCTAAGCTATCTTTGATGGTTTCACGTGATGCTGCCTAGGGTTACCACCTTAACAAACCATCATTTATTCAATATACTGAGCCACACCTTATTGTCAAAAGATGATGACAACTTCAATTATATGAGAACTATTCCGATGGACTCATAACACATGTAAGACCATTAGACCAACAAAGGTCTGCAGAACTTTCGCTCACCTGAGCTGATGAAAGTAGGGACCTCGCAATAAAGGACCTAGCTCCCATCCCCTTTGCACCAGGAACTGAAGATTTATTAGAACAGTAGGGCAATTTAGGGGTGCTGCTCCAAAGTCCCCTGCAAGGGCAGGTATCCCATTCAAACAAATTTAGGTTTTCTTCACATAAAAATGGTTCCTACCATGTTTAGCCAGAATCCATACCAACATTTTAGTATGAAATCACATCTACACTTCATGATCCATCAGGAGCAAGTTTAAAGAGATATCCTTGATTTAAATGGATTTTTTTAAAACCCATGTTTTGACAGTTCTCAAGATTTGTGCATGCACTTTTTTAAAAGTTTGTCGTGCTTGCATTGCTGTTTGGATGTTGGATATTGAAGGCTGTTCCCAAGACCCCATGGGGGCATATACCTCATTTGAACAACTTTAGATCTCCCTTTCCTGCAGGTAATTCCTACAAATTTTGATGAGAATTCAGCAATGGATGAGAGTTGAGACATGTTTCTAATTATCTTTACCTTTTTCATTGCCCATCTTGAGAAATACACAAATAATATTTCACACAAAAAAAAATTCCAATTGATGTATCTGCTTTAAATTTCAAGAAATATTTTTAGTAATTCCCATTAACATGGATTTTAGCAGTTTTAAAGAGAAGGTAGAGTTCTGATAAGAGGTGAAAAATAATTTGTGAGCGTTTACATTGTTATTATGCAAGTGTGGAAGAAAATGTGCCCTGAAAAGGATGGCTCTTCAAATGCCTCATATTCTAATTATGACATGTAACAGCTTAAAAATGAGGACCACATTTTTATGCCACATGTTTGTATAGTCCCATATAAATCTTTCTGTATACAGTGCTTGTTACTTTTACCAAGACTGGGCCAAATTTCTCATCATTTTGATGATCCCAGAACCTAACAGTACATACCAATACTTATATGCTACATGATCAACTTTTCTGATCGATTCCACATCGCTTCTTTCACAAAGCAATCGCATAACCAGAACTCAACTTTATCTTTAACTGCCAACAGCACTAGAAAACTAAGGTAAAATTCCTCATTTTGGAATAGATTCTAGGACAACTATCAAACTTGTGAGTTGAGATAGTATAATTACAATGAGTGACAAGAGTAAATGTTGTTTAATCCCTGGAAGCGGCAGTTTCTCTGCAAAGATGATGTAGTGCATCACATACCTCAAACACCTCATTGTTTGATGAAGCACCGTGGAACGCTTCTCCCATCAAAAAGGTAAACTTCTGGGATTCTGTGGAAAGGGAACAGATGAAATAAAAGTAGAAAATGCATTGTAGTTCGTAAATGAGGAAGAGGAGCTAGAAAAAAAGAAACAAAGAAACAAAGGAAGACATTTCAAAAATCGGTCCATATGTTTTTATGTTACTCATCCCTAAGGATGCAGCTATATTTCCTCTGAAGTGTTTTAGAGATATATTGACTGCTATGAGAGGTCTGGCTGTTTTTATAGGCTCAAGCCAGTATAGAAACAACCAGACCTCGAGCAGTCGATATGTCTTTAATATACTGGTACCAAATTGACACAAAAAAATACCAAGAATTCTTACCTTATCCTTTTCTTGAGTAAAGATTGGTTAAAACATTACAGAAAATATGAGACACTGTCTGATAATCTTTGCT